TCTACGGTTTCCTCCTGACTCGGACGTCTACTCGGACGTCTACTCGGATTGACGGCGCAACGGCGAAGTTGGGACCCGGTACAAGAGGAGCTACGTGGCGTGATAGGCGCGGTGGGCTGCAAAGCGGTTGGGTGCGAGATATTTTAATAAAACTGCCCCGACTCCGATAGCATTTGTGCCTGCACCGTAGCCGGATTATCGTGTGGGCAACATCGACAAAATCCCATCCGACAAAAGCGGAAGCTAGGTGAACGGTGGGACGCGAAATTGTTGGGTGGTGAAGAAAAATAAAAAAATGGAGGGAAAGTCGTGGGTGATTCAGCTGATCATTTGAGTGAAAGGTTGAGCCCGTGCATCACTCCACAGCGAATTTCGGGGTCTACTCGGTAGACACCTGAAAGGGTCTGAAATTTAAACATGGATGCGCGGCGAGGGGTGCATTGCCAAGGATACCTGGGATTCGCTAAGTGGCTTCGACGGGTGCGAAGACGGGTGAACGTCGGACTTGTGTAGATGCTTGTTGATCATTTTTCTTCTATGCATTTTGTCTCCTGCTGTTGTTAGCGAGGTGTCCAATAATTTCATTATTGACACATCGTCGTTGCAAGGATTTCGGACAAACGCGACACCCGCTTCGGATGGGTGTCGTGACACAACGGTGCGCACTGTGTCACGTTCGTGTATCTACAGTGTCAGAGGTCCACTGGTGATCCCCGATTGATCCTATAGAAGGGTTACAGGCATGTTGGCCTGGGGGGTTATGGGCGCACTGACCCGCTACTTAACAAGCCCTTTTATCCCAATGGTCTAGTGGTTGGGATTCTGACATGGTAATAGAGCGAAGGTCTCGGGTTCGAATCCCGATGTATGCACTTCGGGCATCCCAGTGCCGGGGGGTTTCAGAGGTCCACAGGTGATCCCCGATTGATCCTATGGAAGGGTTACAGGCACGTTGGCCTGGGGGGTTATGGGCGCACTGACCCGCTACTTAACAAGCCCTTTTATCCCAATGGTCTAGTGGTTGGGATTCTGGCATACAGACACTGCTGGCAATGGTGCGTTGAATGTTTCTAGTGCCAGTGTGGCTTCGTGGAAGGCAGGGATTGGCTGCTGTGGTGATACAGTGCAACATCTGTTACGCTGTACCACCTGATTTGCCGTTTTACCTGATGCGTTGGCAAGACGTCTAGCCACAACGCGGGGCATTTGATTGTCGTGAAACATTCTAGACCGTTCCTTGCAACAAGCCGCGTCGCACACGTGAGACCTTATCGCCTCTGGAGTCCAGATGCGCTCAGGAAAAGCACTTCCGCAACAACGCAGTTATAGACGTAATTGTAGGGCACGAAAGGGGGAAAAAAAGAAATAAACCAATATGCGATCAAGGAGACCGCGACAACGCGGGCCTCACAAGCTAATCGGGCAATTTCTTCACAACTCTGGTTATAGGCTGTTATGTATTATTTGTGGTTGTAACCGTTTCGACTTTTTTGTCCTCGATGAAACTCATTTATGAAGTTGCGTCACGATCTAATGTCCATATAGAACCCATTAACATATGCACTCCTGTGTACATGATGCGATGCGACACCTTGAATTATGGCGTATTTTGAAACAAGTAATCCAGAAGTGTTTTCGGATAGGCGGGCCAGTGTGAGGCGTAGCCAAAGAATTCGCATCGGGTAGTGCACAAGGAAGAAATGGCCAAATTGAAATCATTCACCCTAATTGTATTAACTTGCCACCATTGTGATGCTAAAATAAGTTCATAATCTGTGTGGCGAATGAAAAGTACTCCACTAGGTCATGTAGGGTCATCGTCAACCATCAGCTTCCACCACACCATGACAGAAAACACAAGAAACATTACTTGGGCAGGCAGCAGCAAAAGAGTTTCGGCCGAGCCAGCAGGGGTCACCTTACCCCACCCTCTTTCCCATCTCAATCTTCTTGATCCCCAAGCCGTTTCACAGCTAGATGACGACATTCTAACTCAAGAAATTAAGAGGCGTAAGCTTCTAGCTAAAGAGGCTGCCAGTAAGAAAGTTGCCGTCAACGCCCTTCTTGGTGTTCTGACGGCTGCTCAGGCAGAAGCACCAGTCCGTCGGGGCGGTCGCCAGAGCAAACGTGGTGGCGAAGGGCGCGATCGTACAAACGCGTCGAATGGCAATATTCCCCCTGGCGGAACCTCTGAAGTTGGTTCCGCCGGCAAACCTTCCTCTACACCTGGTTTTGCTGGCGCACCTTCCTCTACACCTGGTTCTGTCGGCGCACCTTCCTCTGCACCTGGTTTTGCATGCGCACCTTCCTCTGCACCTGGTTCTGCCGCCGCACCCTCCTCTGCACGAGGTTCATCCGACGCACCCTCGTCTATGCCTGTTTCCGCCGGCGCAACCTCCTCTGCGCCAGGTTCCGTTGTCGTCCCCTCTGCGCCTGGTTCCGCAGTCCCAACCTCAGCTGACAATTCCAGAGTCGCAATCTCAGCTCCATTAGCAGCCGCGCCTGCCGATATTCACACCACCGCTACTGACACTGGCGGCATAGGCTGTAGTGCGCCGTCAGTCGCCGCTACTCGAGCTCTCCCTGCACCTTCATCTGCTGCCAGTGTGTACGTCCCGAGCTCGATGATGGCAGCAGTCATCGAGGCGGCTGAAGAGGGAGGTGCTGATCCTTTCCTCGCGTACGGCAGAAGCAGGAAGCAACGATGATGAGATGAACGACAATGAGGCATAAGACGTTGTCGGTGCCCAGGCAGGGGATGATGCCGAGTTGCAGCGACGCTCAGCGTGAACGACGCTTAGCGTGCAGCTAGTGAACGCAATCCAAAATCCGCGGCGGAGCGCTATGGCAGAGAAGGTTCCGCTTCTAGTACCAGCAGCACGATCGAGCACATCGGAGTTGGAGTGAACTGCGGGACTTGCGGAGAGTGAAGGGCGGACGCGTTACTACTAAACCGTCACCAGGTTCCGTCTCTTGTAGAACTTGTTGTTTAACTTTATAGTGTTATACGCACAAGCAAAAATAAACCGAGCTTCACCGTATCCATAATCCGTAGATTCGCCATCGAAATTTCCTTGTAGCTGAACGCGTTTGTTTCACGTAGAACTCGAGTTTGTTGACTTCCCCAGCAGCGCAGTTCGACGGTGACTATTATGAATGAACTTGCAGAGTGCGTAGTAAAACGAATCACGAGAATGTTGAACTACTGAATCACGATACAATGAAAGTGCCGAGGCCTAAATATGGTAAATGCTAGCTAAGCAGGGAGGTCGGGAAAGGACGGCTCGGTGATGTCACGATTGGAGCGCGGGCCGACTCGGGAGTGGTTCGGCCGACGAAATAGGCCGAACAGGTTCGTCGCGTGACCCTCGGGATGTCCTCGCTAATAACTAAATACAGTAAGGAATTCTAATTCCTTACACTCTCCCGCCTTTCAAACATGACCGCCTCATAATCTAGACGAGTCCCTCAATAACGAGGTTTCCGTTGATCTTATGTATAGCTGAATCCGACGGCTGAAATCCCTTGGGGCGAATTTGAAGAAATAGTTGGAATTGAGGCTATTGATGAAGTCAGATTTTGATCTGACAGTCGACGATGAACTGGCCCAAATGAGTGGAAAGTTGGGTTGTGGGCCGTTGATCGGGCAGTTGTAGATCTGACGGTCGACGATTGACGCGAAAAGAGAGGGAGCAGTCTGATGAGAAATTCAATCGCAGCTACTCAGATACGTTGATTGCAATGTCGCGATCGTGGCCGTCTCCCGTGCTGCTGCATTCTGACAAAGTCAGGAATAGTGCCGAGAAGACGCCGAAGGAAAACAGTGCAATGCACTTTCTCCCCCCCTTCCAAGATAACACCCCAGAAAATTTTCCACAGCTGCGCCGAGATGAAAACCAACAAAGTCGGGTGTTAAGTCCCACTGAAAACGAGTGTCGAGCGTAGGAGTCCAGGCATAGTTGTGTTGGTATGGAAACTCGATGACGAAACCGGGTGTTACGTGGCCCAAATCGTCGAGGGCGAACCAACGAAAGTAGACCAGAAACCGTGACGGAAAAATGTCGTTGCTCGAACTGTCTAAGTTTGTCGTTACACTACCAAAACTATCGGTGGTACTTTCTGCAGCTGCAGCTTGCAGCACCCGACGTGGTTAAAATCAGATCACTTGTCGTGGGCGGGTCGAGTTGGATGAGTTGTCGTTGATAGAGTTGGGATGCCCGTCCTGAAATCCTCTGGCCGTGAAATCAGGGTGTGACAAAAACGTTGTCGATGAAGGCGATATGTAGCGAAAGTGAAAGCGAGAGTCGGCGATGGTCGTTGCAGTAGTAACCGGATCAAATATCACTTCGGTTGAAATTGTCGAACGCATTATCCGGGTCAAGTGACGTCAGCACAACCGGCAGTTTTGTCCATACTTGCCGAGAAAGTTTGTCGCAATTCGCCGAGGGCTCCTGGGTAGAGATGAAAATTTGCAGCTGCCTCTCCTCCCCTTTGCACTCTTTGTGCTGCCTCCTCCAGTTCGTCGTAATTCGTTCGTACCCCTGAAAAAGTCAATAATTTCCGCGATGTTGCCTCACGTCGTTGTCGCGCGCGTTTTAACCAAACGCCAAGAAAATCCCACGAAAATGTCGGCCGATTCCCGCCGTGACCCGATAAGTTCTTCCGTAAACTCCGAAAATGTCGGTGTCGAATGCACCCTTTTTTTTCTGTGTGAATGAACGCGTTCCTTCACATAACGTGACCGAACTCCTTCAGTTTCAAGATGTCTCCTACTTAACATATCCCATGTATTACCTAGACAGAAAGAGGAAAAGAAGGGAAAGAAAGACATAAATGAAGAAGAAAAGAACAGAAAAGAGAAAGGGAGAAGGAAAGTGAAACCGCCAAGAAGAACCCAAATGCAACACACATAACACCCCCCCTCAAGATACCCAATCAAAACGCCCAGTCAAGACACCCTGTCAAGACATCCCATCCCGCACCCCATTCCCCCCCACCAATCACAACACCGAATCCACCATGTACGGGGCCTCCACCCAGAGAGCCCCGCCTTCCGCATCGCCATCGTCCCACTCCCGGTCCACCAAGTCAACGTTAATCCCCCCCATAGAAGACGCCTCTCGAAGCAGGATGACACGGGCTTGCGCACGTTGCAACGCCACCCCGATGAGCGCCTTCAGTGACCCTAGAAGATAAGCCGAAAACACAGTGTCGTCCTCCCGACAAGCCCCCCGCGACACAGCTAGCCCCACGTGCGCATCTCCCTGCTGACGAAGCCACCTCCGAAAGCGACCGCCGAGACACCCCCACGTCTCCACTATCAGAGGAGTGAACTGCACGCCTCGGTTGCGTGCAAGCAGAGGCGCGTAATCGCTCGTTTTACGACGCTCCCATTCTCTTGCCGCCACGCCTATTTGACGCCCGCATTGGTCGTCGCACGCTGATCTCTAGGGCGTGAGCCTCTCCAGCCATTGGTCGTCGCACCGCCACATCAACCCGCTTCCCCTGCAGCACCACACTATCCTCCATTGTCACCACCCCCCCAGACGCCTTAGAGATCTTCGCCACCACAAACTTCACCTCATCATGTACCCGAGATGGACCATGCTGGTGCTTGCATCTCAGGGCATGATGCGGGTCTGCTGGGTCAACATATGCTGTGCCACAAACACACCTCCCCGCCACCTGCAGCTGCTGAATTGGGAGCCCGAGCCGTATAGCAGCAGCAATGCCCCACTCCGCCGCAGTGAATGTGAGATCTGAGTGAGCCGGAACCGCCGAAACCCATGCACCAGCCCCCGGGCCCTGAAGGGATGTGAAACGGGCCAGGGTGGCATCGTCACGAGCCGAGCGACGCAGTTTCTGGAGCTCCTCTACCGCCAACAACCGCTGCCGCGCCTGGAAAAGCCGAAGAGGAGGGGCCGCTACGCACAGAGGTAAGCCCGGCATCTCCTGGCGTATAGTCGCAGGCAGCTGCTCAAGAGCCTTGGCAAACCACGGGTCAAGAAACTCCGCCCCTGCCGAAGTGGTGAGGTACTCCGCAAACATCGCCTCCTCGCCCGCCACCCCCAACTGTGCAATATCACGCGCAGCCTGCGCCCACCCACAAACATAGGACAGCGGACTCAAAGAGGCTGCTGCCCGGATCCCAAACCCTCCGAGTCGCACAGGGAGATGCAGCTGCATGCGCGCGCGCCTAGACCGGTCGGGGTCATGCTCCCAAGTGCCAGGTGGGAAAAGCTGCTCAAAGCAATCCTCCAGACAGCTATCCCAATCCCTGAAGGCCTCCACCACCTCCGGACGCGGCGGCATAGTCCGGGCCAGGTACATCGGCCGTGCTGAAACTGCAATGGCGAGGAGATGTGAAGCCATCTGGGGGTGGTCGAGCAGGGGGAGCCATGGCAATGGCGCCTGCAATTGTCTAAGCCGCTCCCGTAACCGGGTCACCTCCCAACCCTCCTCTCCAATAGGCACGCCCACCACAGTGAGACCCTCCTCCACCCGCTGCATCCCCAATGGCAATGCCCGCTCCACATCCCCGCCCTCGCGCTCCCAAAACCGGCACTTGTGCGCCTGCACCTCCAGCCCCACCCATTCCAACCGCTCCCGCAGCACCCCAAACGCCTCTAGAATCCTAGCCGCCGGTCCCAGGATATAGGTATCGTCTGCGTAGCTCAGGAAAAGTAGGTCCCTGAACTCTCTAGTCACCGACTCCATCACCTGCTGCTGCGTGAACGCGAAAAGAAAAGGGCCGAGCGGGTCCCCCTGCCGCGATCCTCGTGCCGACTCAAGGCTCTGTACAAAAGGGCCCGCTCGGAGGTACAGATCGCTAGGTGTCCCGTAGAAAACACGTAAGAATGGGATCAACCCTGAGAAAGGCGACTCCCGCAGCCCCTCAAACATCGCATGACGGTGAAACGAATTGAAGGCGTTCGCGACATCTATCTGCAGCGCACACCAGTCGGGGTGAGTAGCCAGCGCTGACCGGAAAGAATGGGTAAGAATCTCCACCCCGGCCCTGGTGCCCGCTCCCAGCTGGTTGCACGGCAGAAAGTAGGAAGCCATCGTAGGGCGGAGCGAGATGCAGAGAGCTCGAGCAAGGATACGCGGAAGCACTTCCCCAATCGCGACCGGCCGGACGTCGCCGTTAGGCTTGGAAAGCCCAACTAGGTTGGATGCGGCGAGCCAGGGCCGAGCCCGCTCGGGGACCTGTCCCGCCACCCATTGGTTGAACACCTCCAACAGGTGGGAAAGGCAGGAAGGTTCAGTGAGGAAGGTGTCGCGCAGATGCTCCGTGACCCACCCCGATGGCCCTGCTGCTGAAGCGCGAGCGGCTGTATGGATAGTTCTGGCCAGGATGTCGGCCGTGAGTGGAGGCCGCTGAGGAGCATCGACGGTGAAATCACGGACCCACTGTGGTACCTCGCTAGTGCTACCAGGGTGCTTCTCTCGCAGCGACTGCACCATGGCCTCAGACGGCCGGGCCAACTCCCCTGCCGTAAGGCAAGCCAATCCGCGGCTCCACTCTCCCACTTTACACCGAGATCGGCACCGTGACAGGCGGATGGCATCCGGGTCCTGGTCAGAGCAAGTGTAGGCAAGTGGGCGCACTGCTGGCCGCGCCGCCACCATGGCGGAGTCGAACAGCTCCCGCCACCTCCCCTCCCAAAACGCCCCCAACCGCTCTATGATCAGCGCCTTCTGTCCTATGCCTGGCTTGGGAGGCACGGCTAGGATGAGGCGCGGAAAAGCCAAGAGTAGGAGGGTAGCGGCTTCATCCCCTGGTCGGCTCTTCAAACGCTTTAAGACGCAACAGAGCGCGTCTAAGACCCCCGGCCGAGCCCGCTGTGGGATCCGGCGCACTGTCCTCCCTCCAACCGCCACCACACTGAAAAATGCTTCCCATTCCCAAGACGTAACCCCGGCCCACGCCTCGTCCCCAAATTCCCGCGGCGTCGGTCGCTCCTGCGTGCCGGTCTCCACCAGTGACGGGGTCGAGCCAAGTGCCTGTGCGCGCCTCTCCGCCTCAGCCGCCCGGCATACCCTCATGTGGTTCGGCAGCAGCCCCTCGCGTAGCGAACGTGTGAAAACACGTGTCACACGGAAAACGAGGGCATGGGGAAGGCTGCATGGGAGGTTCTTCGTCCGCCTCTGACTCCTCCGCAGTCGCCATGGGGGTATCAAACTCCAAAAGTCGGCACCACTCCTCCAACTGCTGCTCCCGGTCGTCCAATGACTGCCCCCCTGGCTGCTGCTCTATCTGGGGTGCTCCGGTCACCCCCGGCTGCCCCCCTGGCTGTAGCACTCCCAGGGGTGCTCCGGTCGCCCCCGGCTGCCCCCCTGGCTGTAGCACTCCCTGGGGTGCTCCAGTCACCCCCGGCTGCCCCCCTGGCTGTAGCACTCCCACGGGTGCTCCGGTCACCCCCGGCTGCCCCCCTGGCTGCTGCTCTCTCTGGGGTGCTCCAATCGCCCCCAGCTGCTCCCCTGGCTGTAGCGCTCCCTAGGGTGCTCCTGTCACCCCCGACTGCCCCCCTGGCTGTAGCACTCCCAGGGGTGCTCCGGTCACCCCCGGCTGCCCCCCTGGCTGTAGCACTCCCTGGGGTGCTCCGGTCACCCCCGGCTGCCCCCCTGTTTGTAGCACTCCCAGGGGTGCTCCGGTCACCCCCAGCTGCTCCCCTGGCTGTAGCACTCCCAGGGGTGCTCCGGTCACCCCCGGCTGCCCCCCTGGCTGTAACACTCCCCGGGGTGCTCCGGTCACCCCCGGCTGCCCCCCTGGCTGTAGCACTCCGTGGGGTGCTTTGGTCACCCCCGGCTGCCCCCCTGACTGCTGCTCTCCCTCGGGTGCTCCGGTCACTCCCGGCCGCCCCCCAGGCTGCTGTGTTCTCTGGGGTGCTCCGGTCACTCCCGGCTGCCCCCCAGGCTGCTGTGTTCTCTGGGGTGCTCCGGTCACCCCCGGCTGCCCCCCTGGCTGTAGCATTCCCAGGGGTGCTCCTGTCACCCCCAGCTGCTCCCCTAGCTGTAGCGCTCCCTGGGGTGCTCCAGTCACCCCCGGCTGCCCCCCTGGCTGTAGCACTCCCAGGGGTGCTCCGGTCACCCCCGGCTGCCCCCCTGGCAGTTGCACTCCCAGGGGTGCTCCAGTCACCCCCGGCTGCCCCCCTGGCTGCTGCTCTCTCTGGGGTGCTCCGATCGCCCCCAGCTGCTCCCTTGGCTGTAGCGCTCCCTAGTGTGCTCCTGTCACCCCCGGCTGCCCCCATGGCTGTAGCACTCCCAGGGGTGCTCCGATCACCCCCGGCTGCCCCCCTGGCTGTAGCACTCCCAGGGGTGCTCCGGTCACCCCCGGCTGCCCCCCTGGCTGTAGCACTCCAAGGGGTGCTCCGGTCACCCCCGGCTGCCCCCCTGGCCGTAGCACTCCCCGGGGTGCTCCGGTCACCCCCGGCCACCCCCTTTTTTTTTGTGTCGTAATTACCCGAAAATCATGGTTGAGGCAGCAGTCCCGTGGTTAATTTCTGCCATGTAATCCTGACGTTTCGGCCGTATCGCCTTATGGAACAGCTGCACATCATACCTACAGTTACATCAGTTGTTAGATAAAGAGCAAATTCAACCTTAGAGTCACCATGCAAACCTGTTAACCAACCACTTGTCTGCGTCCTTCTCTGGCCACACCAACTGAACTGCACGCTGGATGCTATCAATACTAATTACCCCGCTGAGTTGCCTCCCAGTGCAGTACTTTGCACTTGGAAGCTGCATCCACTCGGGCCTGTTCTCGGTAGTACTTTACAAATGCAAAGTTTTTTGGGTTGCGAAGCAACCCTTTACAATCGATTTTGACAAATTTTCTTTTCATGTTTTTATTAAACATGAAAATAAAATTCGTAAGCTACAGTACCACCCTTCCCATTGTGCATATATTAATCTCTTTTTTTTATTATAGTAGTTTTTTGCCTATTTACTATACTGTTTGCATTTTATCTTTTATTGCTTGTTGTTGTTGTGATAATTGCATGTAAAAATGTTACGAATATGAGTAATGAAGTACATACCACGCATGCTTAAATGAATGTAATGCGGCAAGATATATAGATGCATAATACTGATACATGGATGAAAATGCTTTTCCATGAAGCGAAATGCTGAAATGCAACATACGGGATGTCATACAAATGCGTGATAGTTAACGACCCAAAGACTAGGCTACCGCATCCCCTGCCTAGCATGGGGGGGAAGTCAATAGCAAAGTCTTTGAATAATAAACCAACACATGAAAAAATGCAATCTGTTAACTCTAAAAAAGAGGTTCACACTATCAAATCCAGTTCGAAGTGGCAAACACACGAGTCACTGAGTGCGCCAATGAACCAATGAGAAATGATAGAAATGAACCCCTTTTTTAAAACTGACAGACACGCATTAACATTGCAATGATCAATGAGATGAATGCACTCTCATAATCAAACACATTCACACAATCAAAAGCACAAACAGCAGCAAACCCAGCCAAAATACGCGATAATAAATAACATGCAAATCAACATTAAATGGACAATATGACAAGATAAATCCTGAAAGTGACCGATACACATTTTCCAGATTCAAATCCCCTTCCTGAGCAGCAAGACTCATGAGAAACGGGTTTAGAATGTAGAAAGGAGGAACGAAAGAAATAGTCGGTACAAAAAAAAAAAACAGAAAGGAAATGAGGTGTGATGAAATGACGAGATGCAGGAATAACCAAGAAACGAATGAAACAATACAAGGGCTAAGAAAAACGCCGTGAGCATTGAAAGGTTAGAGCCGACAAATAGAAAGGAGGTACAGAGGCATAAAACGAAAGTAAGGAACGGGAACAGAGGGAAAAACACATAAGAGCTAGGTCGTACGGAATGAACGAACGAAGGAGGACATGAATACCATGCAAGAGGATGTGAAACCGAAAACTAGAGAAAATAGGATGTGAGATGACGGACTGAAAGAAGAAGAGAAGAGATTAGGAAGAAATACGAACTGGAATATCTAAATAAAAAAACGGAATATGTCAACGGAGAATGCGCAGGACGCTGAGTGTCATCATCGGCATCTAAGAATAGAGGAAGTAAAGCTTACCTAAGAAGCTGTAGGTGAGAGTGGCGGCCTCTCCCTTAGCGCGCCTGGCACGAGCAAAAAGTCAACAACGCGCCAAGCACAAGCAGAACGTTTCCAGCAAGAAGTTACAAGAGGGAAAACAAAAGAGAAACGCGGACGGAGAGAAAATGAGAAGAGAGATAACAATAGCGGATGGAGAGAGAAGGAAAGGAGAAAGACATACGGAACCTTGAATATGCAACAAAACAGGAGTAACAACAACAAGGTAGCAAAAACGAAGGCATGATACAAAAAAACGGAAAGGTAGTCTTCACGTGACGAAGGCATGATCTCGAGTTAACTTTCTCCTAGTCAACTTAAGTAGGCTAACGATAGTCTTAACAAACTAGCAACACTTGCTATTCCTACTCTTCCAGCTGCTGCTACTCTCTTACCTAGAAACTGGAATAGCGTGACAGACAGGAGTGGTTGGAGAAGAAGCAGAGGAAAGGAAAAGAAGGAACGTGAAAAACCTAACCACCTCATTCGTCGCGTCAAAATCATTTAATGAACGTACGAACGAGTATCGACGGGGTTTAGCACAATGGTTTGAGTTTGGCCTCAGAATCGGAAGGTTGCAGGATTGATTCTGGTAGTCGAAGTTTACCCTCAGAAAATTTGTAGTTAAATCTCAATGAAGAATGTTCAGTTTTTGAACATTAAATACAACGTATACAACTAGACCAATAGCTTCGCAACCCTAGGTCGACTTTGTCGCCTCTTGTTTTTTTTACCCTCGACATTAGCATGAAACAACAGGAGGGTCTTCCCAAACCACTCCTCGTCCCCGTCCGAGCCCTCGCCTTTTACCGCCACATCTGAAAACCATTGCCGGCTGTGGTGTATGGGCAAGGCGCGGATGCGGTGCAGCAAACGGCTATACTGCGCATCAACCGCGGCAGGCATGACGAGTTCCCAATGAACCTGCATAGGATTCAACAAGTGAAAGAGTCAGTTGGTTGCCATGAAACGAGGTGTAGAACCACATCAGAATGACACCGGACGTACATATAGTTCTTCAAAAACAGTCCCCTTGTCGTCACAATCGGGTGCCCTGTCCAATGCCACACGCAGGTGCTTTAAGTCCTCGCCGATTATGGCCTGCAAAGGGCCATCACGCTCCAGGTCTGGTACACGAGGGTTTGGGGCTGCGCCACGCGTTTCAAGCACGTGCAATGTCCACGCCCTTTTGGACAGAACCCGCTCGCCTGTCCGTTGGGCCTGCACACATGGCGACAGATGGCAACCTCGTAATGCCTATGTAATAAGAGTCTTACGCTGGTGAGAGAAGACATAGTAGCAACTGTAACGTACCTTCACCATGGCTGTGTCATATGTCTTCTTCTTCTCGAGCTGTGGAGCGGTGTATTGTAGACGAAGCCGCGCCTCTTCGCTGCCCACAATCTGGCTATTGACTGACCTTTTGTTGGACGCCTTGTAAGGGTTTTTATGTGCAGGAGCTCGTATAATTGTGCAGAGTTGTGCTCGGGCAACCCCGACCTACGAATGGAGTCTATGGAGTCTATGAGGTGCATTTTGATGAAGTTCCAATCTGATGTGTGTGGGAAGGCGGTCTTGAGGTTGTGTAATATCCTGCATCAAGGAATACAACGTAGCCATTAGGTATGCACAAATTAGAAACAAAATCAAGGCAAATTGCACCATACAACTGACTTGTGCGCCTTCGTCTTGAATTCAATGAGGGTGGTCTCGGTGTGCTCTGATTCCCGCGCACACTCGAGATACCACTCCAGTGCGTCCATCTGCTCCTGCGTGATAAATCCCTTCACAATGAAGGGAAGTATCTGCATAACAGAACGATGCTCGTAGGCCTGATAGTTTGCCCCTTTTTCGAAGTACTGGCCCGATGGCAACCGCATGTTCCCCCCCCTAATGTTCTTCTTGTAGTACCTAAGAATTCTGTCCAGTTTCTTCGTATCAGCCAACAGCTTCACATGCATACGAATGAAGTCAACAATGTGCTAAAAAATGCCCAAATCCACTTGGTGCATCACATCGGGCTGCACCGCAAGGTACGGGTTCAGAATTGTGTCAGACTCCCACCTCCATCTGCTCCTGCGTCATAAATCCCTTCACAATGAAGGGAATTATCTGCATAACAGAACGATGCTCATAGGCCTGATAGTTTGCCCCTTTTTCGAAGTACTGGCCCGATGGCAACCGCATGTTCCCCCCCTAAATGGTCTTCTTTTAGTACCTAAGATTTCTGTCCAATTTCTTCCTATCAGCCAACAGCTTCACATGCACACAAATGAAGTCAACAATGTGCTCAAAAATGCCAAAATCCGCTTGGTGCATCACATCGGGCTGCACCGCAAAGTACGGGTTCAGAATTGTGTCAGACTCCTACCTCCAACCGCTAAGGAAGCTCTGCACAAATCAAAACCAGCCCAATGGTGTTAGTAACATAAGTTAATGTACGTAATGAGTAGCACCAAAACAGAAACCGTGAGGATGGTTACCTGCACTGGGTGCGCGGACAAGGTTGCATACGCATCGGGCGCGACCTGACCTTCCAGAATGTCACGCACAATGGTATCTTGCTCGCACGGTGTCCGAGCATCGATACGATCCTGCAATACTGCCAAATGTTTCTTATCGACCTTGCATATCGAACAAGGGAACATGGTTCCCAACAACTTCGTGCAAGTGATCTTGCACGACTCCGGATAGTCTGACACATATGCATACAAGTAGGGCCACACGTTGATGCTCTCGCCTACTGCGTTCTTCATTGCACTGCCGGTCTAGGAAGCCATCTTGAGCGATTGCAATACCTGTCTCATGATGCAACTATGGACTTGCATTTTTTCCACCACGTTGTATTCGGCAAGAAACTCAGGGAGAAGTGCTAGAAGGGCATGACCATAGGGTTGCCACATGTCATCCTTATCAATGTTTCCCAGTGTGAGATACACGGGATGCCCCTTCGCCTTCCCTTTATGTTCCATATGCGTTTCATCGCTCGCAAGGATCAAAGCAACCACTACTCCATTTGGATCCTCTTCGCGCACCAACGTTTGCAACCTCTTCCACCAAAGGCATGTTTCTGGGGTGCTAAACACCCTCTACGTTTCCAACGTATTCTGGATCTGCATCAAACACCATT